GCATATAATGCAAGTAAATATGCTTCCAGGTTACAAATTAATCACAAGAATTCAATCAACGGAATTCACAAATAGGCAACCAAGCAATAATCATGCATAAACCGGTAAGGATACCAAACCTAACCTAACGGAGAGTTTGGAATAATCTTACCAAACTACTGTTGACAAACAGTAAATATACCACCAAGTTTCTGAACCAAATTGCCGTAGACGTCAAGGTAGGGGCAAAATCGTCCAACTTTTTCTGTAAAATCTGAAACAAAAAACAAACGACATCAGTGCGTTCAGGACGTCAAAATGAGTGAACTGCCCGAAAAAAGCTCGCCGGAGGTTCGGCCACGCGCCGCCGCCGGAGCCACGCGCCGCCGCCGGTCACGCGCCCCACCACAGGGTGCGCCTCCTCCTGCTGGTCATGGTTCCATGGTCCATTTCGCCGGAAAGTCAATCGGTTGGCCGGAAATCAAGTTTTTCAGATTCGGTTAGAATGTGGAAATGGTGATTTCTTGCTGGTTTTTGATCGATTTTTGGACTAATATCACTCCTCCTAGCTCTGATACCAGTTTGTTGGGGATCCTAGGAGTTCAAACAACCAAAACAACAATCAACAAACAAGATTCAAGGCAAAAAACAAGAAAATAAACCGGAAGAATACTCCCCTTCTTTGGCCGAAATCTGTCCAGCTTCTTCTTCGAATTTATGGGTGTTTTTCAGGCTCAGGAACAGCCTCCATGACTTGCAAATCACCTTCCAAGAGAGAGGGGAAAAATCCAATGAAGAACCACCACCCTTTTGCTAAAACGAGAGCTCGACCTTCTGCTGCTGCTGCTGGAATCCTCCAAAAAACGTGAGCTGCCCCCCCTTTATTTGAAAATGGTAGAGTGTACATAATGAAGGGGTAGGAAGAAAGACCATGCCTCTGCCAAAGGAAGGGAAGACCTGATTGTGTCAACCTCACTCCCATCAACTCACAACATTAGGTGGTGGGGTTAGGTGAACCATATCTTCACAGAAACCTAGTCAAATCCATTGCTTTTCGGCCCAACTGAGTGATTTTATAATGCTAGTTGGTATGTGAATTTCTAGCCATTGCCTTAACATTTATTTGCCTTTAATTTTGATTGATTCCATGTCTTAGTAATGGGAGAAATCATATGAACTATTTTTTGAGTTATTCAAATAGAGTTGTCTTGTAAAACGAAGTTGGTGTCTAACTTTACTTTTTCAATTTTTCGGTCCTCAATCCAAACTCTTTCGCTTTCAATCAATCAAGTGACATAAATATAACTTTCCAATATCTCACAGTAGTCCCTCAATAATTTATATATTTATTCTCGGATTAAAAATAAATAACAAATGCTATGACTTTCAAGGAACTTTGGGGGATAACTCAAATATGTCCCTTATTTTATTCTATTCCGTGGCTTTACGGATGCTCCGACTGTCCAGTAACAGAAGTTAATGCCAAACCCATTGAAATACGTGGAAGCTATTTGTTAAATGTTCAGCATGCAATGCTGGTTCGGGAGCCAACATTTTCCATATAAATCCAAAGGGCAATTTTAAATTGTACGCTCAATTTTACTTCAAAGCAACAAACAAAAAATGTTTGAGTACGAAATTCTTTGGCAGAACTTCACTTCGCCAAAGAGAATTATTCTGCAGGTACAAATTTTTATACTATATTTTATATATGGGAACAGCTATCTCCTTGTGATTTGCTATTACCGAAAACTATTTTTCACAGCAATCAATCCCTGTGAGACAGTTGTGCTTCCTGTATAAAATCCGTTAAAAAAATCTATACATCTAGCATTTTTCCACCAAAGAAAAACCAATGTGAAAAAGATTTTTGTTAACAGCGATTCTCAAGGTGAGTTAAGTAAAGGAAAAATTCACAGAAATAGAGAAAAACATGATTTAGTACTTGAGCAAAGTAGTGGAGCATTTAGAAAATTTGAACTCACCCAAATCCCTAGAGTCATAACAGTTATGCTGTTTCTGATCTTGTAAGCTCCAAAGATGACAGAAGCTAATTCTTCTGAGTTTTTTCTTGATAAATAAAATTTGGAAGTTTGAGACATCCCATATTCTATCATGTCAAGTAATTGTACTCAATTTGAAAGAACAGGTTGCAAAGAATGTGTGATGAACTTGGTGTTCAAAAGATTCTTTTTTTTTTTTTTTTACCCTCCCTACTATCCCCAGTCCAATGGGCAAGTCGAGACCAT